GTTGTAATGCCTCCGCTTGGTCTGATAATCTGCGCTGAAGTTCAGCAAACTGGGTTCGTAGGGGAGGGGAGAGGGAAGGGCGGGGCTCCAGGCCAGGGGGACACCCGTGGGCATAGACATAGTTTTACTTCTATTTTTGGGGGTCGGGGCAAGGGCTGGTAGGGCTCAAGCCAGCTCTGCACAGCAGGTTCCAGGAAGGGTGTGCCACCTCCACCCCCTGACTCAGAAGGTCACCCAGCCTGTCTGGGCTCTGGTGGGATGAAACCAAAAAATATAACTCAAAGCAGGGACTCAGTTCAAAAAGTTTGAAACCCGCTCAGGGTGCAGGCCGAGGGGTAGCTGTATGAAGCGAGGGGAGTAGCTTAGGGTGCAGGGAGGGGATAGCTAAGGGCTGTTACAGGTAGGGGGTAGCTCAGGGTGCAGGCAGGGGGTAGCTAAGGGCTGTGTAGTAGCAGGGGGGCTCCCAGTGCAACTCCCAGCTTCAGGGGGCAGGGCATTGGGGCTCCCGGCTTCAGCCTCCCCGCTGCTCCTGGCTTGGGGGGAGGGGAGGTTTGCTGGCTTCAGCCCCACACCACTCCTGGCTTTGGGGAAGGAGGCCCCGCTGGCTTCAGCTCTGTGCCACTCCCGGCTGGGGCGGGGGGCCCACTGGTTTCAATCACAGGACTCCACGGACCCCAGTAGAGAACCGCTGGCTTAGAACAATGGATGGGATCACAGCACAAGGGAATACAGCTGCACCAATGTGTCCATGCTGAGTGAATGATGTGTGGTAAACCATTGCAATGCACTCGTAAATAATTAATCCATCACATCACAAGTACATTGGTAATCCACGTGTTTATTTTTAATCCTAATATGATAGACAGTTACTGTGAAGCAGTCACTTTAAAGTATTTGAATTTAGATGACAATTTTAAAAGTGATTGAGAAAGCAAAAGGGAAGCAGGCAACTTTTGTCAACAGGTTACAGCACATATTTAAGAACCCTAGTCACTAGCAAAATGCAGTACCCAGCATGTGGACATTACAAAAAATTGAGAATCTGTGTCTCCTCTTACCCTGCAACGTATGATTTCAGCGTTGGCTCCTAAAGCAGTAAAAGGGAGCAATCTGGTTTCATCTGCTAGAAAGGTCCCAGCAGGGCAGGTAAATTGGCAAAGTGCATGTGAACATCAGTAAAGAAATGCCGACTGCGTTTTCTATGGTACCTGGTATGAGAGAGTCACTGCGGCAGTCGTACAGCGTCCCCAGCTGGAACGGGCGGCCCAGAGCCGGCAGCTCAACAGCTGCGTTCTCAGCAGAAGCTAGAGTGGTAACGGGCAGGTTTGACCAGACCTAAAACACCCCAGCAATACAGAGTCAAGTATGGTCTGTAAACTCTGGTTAACTATGTTCCCTTCATGGCCCTTATCCTCCATGATGTGTGCCGCTTAGCATCACCATGGCAGAGAGTAACAAGGCCTAGAGAATAAAGTCACCAGTGTCAGTCTAGAATTAGCTGGTGTCTCTGACCTTTCAGAACTGTTTATTGAAAGGTTTTAACCTAAAAACAGATCAACATGGAGGGTCCAGACAAACACACACTAAACAGGTGCAGGGCTGCCAACAGAATTGATGGACCCCTGGGCAAGGTGTGTGGGTGTGGGGGGTGGCTCTGGGTGCCTGGAAGGGGCGGGGCCTCAGACAGAAGGGGCGGGGATGGGGGCCTAGTCTCCCGCAGCCAGCCCTTCAGCACTGCCCGGGACTCAGGCGTCTATTTAAAAGGCCCGGAGATCCAGCCGCTGCTGCTACCGCTATAGCAATGGCGGCAGCAGTAGACGGGAGCCCCAGACCCTTTTAAATTGCTGGGTCCCAGGTCAAATTTGCCCCCCCACCCCCACCTTGGAGACCCTGGACAGGTATGAGCCATTAAACACCCAAAAGAGATAAAAATCCACTCTGGGATTTAACTATTAGATCAAGGTTTCGGGGGAGGTAAAGAGACAACTTCAGGAATTCACTCTTCACCGAGAACTGCTCTCTGATCTCCCCATTAATGAGTTCCCCCTCTCTGACCATGGCCCTGTCTCTTTCAATATTGACCCTCTACCCCCCTCTCCTTGCCCCACTAGCTGGCTCTCCCATGACTTCCAGCCCATCAGCGTTGATGACCTCTTTTCTGTTCCCTGTTTGTTCCCCCTGCTATCTCTTCCCTTTCTTACATTGACTCAGTTGTTGATTCTCCCTCTCCTCTACCCCTTGATTGTTTTGCCTCCTTCCCATCACAAGGTCCCCCCCTGCCACCTCTCAACCTGGCTCACCCCAACATCCACATCTGCTGCTTCGGCTCTCGTACTGCAGAATGCCCAGGCTACACTGCACGTTCGTTCTTTCCTCTTTCAGTTGTGCCATCGTCCTAACCAACAACCCCATTGGCATCAAATCCTGCAATCCCAACAGCCTTTTCACTGTCTTTGGCTCCATCCTCAACCCACCTCCCACCTCCACGTCTCTCTCTGCACAAGCCTTCGCTGATTTATTCAAAGAAAAAACTGACAATGACATGAGCCTTCTCCTCCCCTCTTCTGCCTTCCTTTCCCTCCTCTCCTTCCACTCTCAGCTCCTTCCTCATTACGCAGACAAC